TTTGGTTTGTCATTCCAGAATTCTTCTTCTTTTAACTGTCATAATTGCCACAATACTTATTTGCCAAAGGGCATCCTCATGCATGTTTTCTACAGAGCCATTTTATTTGCTTTTATATGTATTTTTACAATAATTTCAAGATGCACAATAAGGTCGTATCATGCACTCTTGGCGTAGCTGTATATTCATTATACTGTAGATTCATTATTATTTGTTGAGGTACCAATTTTATCTGATTTCGTGGGTAAATGTTAACCAGAAATCTAAATGGTAATCGAATTTTCAATTTTCTATAAGCTTGAGTGCAGACTTAAATACTTGATTCTAAAATGTGCTTAAACATATTTCGTATGTGACAAAATAGCTTCAAAACATTTGTTCTGTAACGGACATGATTTCAGTCATAGATAAACAATAAAATAAAAATTGGACACTCTATTTTGGTATTTGAAAGTATTGCCGTCCCCCCAAATCGTTTCAATCTATTCTACAATGTGGATATGATAAGAGTGAAATGTGTTTCTATTATTTGGTTCAGATGTTATAGATCGTAAGCTAGTTAAGTAAGACGTACTTTGGTAATATACTTACATCTCATGTAGTACACTTTTCGTATTCCCAATTTTTATAAGATTTGATCTGTAAAATTTTGAAAATATATGCAAATAAATGATTTTCCTTAAAGTTGTGTTTTAAGAAGTCTGCATTGATCTCACATGTCTTAGTAAAAGACGTTTTCTGGAAATTACTATAACGTTGTTGTTACGTTCTAAATTTATATCTGTTATATTTTTAGATGCGTCTATAAATAGACAGAATCTATTGGTCGGATAATGGTCTTCTCTTAGTTCTTATTCTTTTTCTGCATTCCTAAACAAACATGATTTTTCTTGATTTGGTCATTGTTTCTAGATTTTATTCAGCGTTTAATTATCATTATTCTGAATAAGTAACATAATTACATCACACTATTACAATTTCAAAAAAATAAATTATTAGGTTTTTACTCCCAAGATAAATATCTAGAAAAGGTTACAAGAGACTCCCGGTCGTACCCTACAAAACATTAACAGAGACGTAGCGTTAAAATTAATATTGGTACGACTGGAAATCTTGTGGGTCGCAAAGCGACCCATTCCGCCTCACAGAGGCGGTTATTCGGGGAGAGGGGGATCCGGGGGCCGCACCAGACCCCCTGAATTTTTGGATAAATGGTGCAAAATCCTGCATTCTGACTTCTCCTGACACTTAAATTTCTTTCCTGAAAATCCCATTTTTATGAACAACATTTTGATCTATGACACTATTTTTTTAAATTCAATATCAAAATATAGAAAGAAGAATGTGAAACTTGATATATGTCAAAAAACGGCAACAATCCAACTGGATAGAACAAGTGGAATATCTCTGCTAAAATTAATACTTTCACTTTGTGTCGGACACCTTACTTGGCATGCTCCTTCTTGGAATTTTAAAAAAAATTTGAAAAATGCGTGCAATTCTGTATACCGGTTGTGGGAAATTAAGAAACTAATTTTAGACTATCAAATCTTTGCTAAACTTAGTCAGGGGTAAATGGAACTATGATCAGAACGATGAACAGATTATCAAAATTCCTTGCACAAAAACCGAGAAATTAATGACCTGCGGAATTTCTCATATAATATCAAGTCTAGATATGACAAATGAGGAAAACTATGACACTGCGAACAAATCTATGTTCATTGTGAATATGGTCTCACTGCCATAAGGATCAATGAGTTCATGATGACAACGCTAGAACTTTTGAAGCGATGACTTGAAATATAGTAGCAACATACAAACAACTTATTTGAAAGAAGGCTTGCAAGTTACACAAACAATCAAGGTCGCCTGCATGTTTAATTTCGAATTCATATTTCCTTTAAATTTGGTTGTCATTAAATGTTGTATCTAGTAATCATTACTACTAACAGATACAACATTTTTGGAAAATTCTAACTTAGAATTTTCTATAAATACAAATTCCCTAGCCACATCATTTATGTTCAATCCATCAGTTTTATCTTTCTGTACATTGAGAAACATCAAACTGTTCAATCTCGCCTGTTTCATAGTTAAACGCAAGTAGCTTTTCATTCTGCGGAGGGAGCTAAAAGATCACTCGCTGGTTAAATTTGTTGCTGGCATGACAAGAACAAGCTTAATCAATTTAACAACTTCGTTTAGCCATACTTTCCCCTCCCCCCTTTTGACAGGGATTTGACGTATTTGACAATGTCAGCAAAAACACCGTCCTCTCTTTTGCCGTCGAACTTAAAATTTGCAGAAACCATCTTTAGTTGGGATCTCAAATTATCCTTTTGGAAGTCATCCCCGTAAAATGTCGCAATGGCATTCAATTCACCTTCAAATTCGTTTCCTCTTATACATTGTATCAAAGCCTGTTTCATGTGTACTTAAACTTTGTGGTGTGTGCAAAGTGACTGACACTATTTTTGTTGCAAATAATTGGCTCACAAAGTTTATTTCTCCGTTAAAAAATTGCTAACTTTAGTTCTTCCATGCCACTCTCATAGTATTCATGCATAAAAAGTCATTTAACTGATGTTCTGAAATCTATATGTTTAAACCAGAACAATTGTAGAAGGCCCTAGATGATGATATTAATTGTGCCTTGAATGTTAATGACCATGATCTATCAAAATCTTTTGTGAGATTATATTTATAAGTAAAACAATGTCGTACTTTGATTAAAACCGGGTCATGTTCGATAACTCGTATAATGTATACTGTATATAAGGGTATTTTCCTAAAAAAAATATTCTGATCCTAAATTTGATGAAAAAAAATATTGTGGTCAAGCAGATGACAAAAAAAATGTGAATCCGGATTTTCCCCATACCTTATAGTGTTAAATTTTGAAAAAAAATAATTTGATTGATAGCGTCGAAAAACTAAAAATAAAATGTTCGCTGTGCGCGAAAAAAAATTTCTGACCATAACCCCCCTTGAAGTAAGTTAAATGATTGCCCCCTACCAGTTAGGTCAAGGACAAGAAAAAAACTGTCATCGAGTATCGTTAGGAAAAGTAACTTGAAATGTTTGTCACTGAAGAAAATAAGACTTTATTGTTTGATTATCCGAAATGTTTTATATATTTACATCAATGTTTTTTTATGTTTTTCATGACACGTATTTTATAATATTATCAATATGCATTACCGCCTGAAGATTAACATACCCATATCAAGTACACCTTTCCAGTGTGAAATCTAGTGTCAACCAATTACCTCCCCTGTAAACAATACAAACTTGATCTTTACGATATTTGTTCCGTTTTAGCAAGCACGCGATTTCTTATAAATTTACAAGAAAACGTTCTGGTAAATAGTAATAATGAAAATGAACGGAAAGAAAAAAGGAAAGAAAAACAAATTTTCCACGTAATGTTATCACTTTCCTCCTAAAATAACAAACGAGTATAGTCGGCTATAGGAGCTTTGTGTAAAGTTTGTTTTAAATGTTGCTATGCATATAAATCCCTTCAAATTATTTTTCTACTGGCTGTATACCTCTCTGGAACATGCCAATAATCCGTATATGTATGAAGCTAGATCAGAGGAGTTCAGGGAAAAAATTCTAAAGGAATCGTTTGATTTGCAGCAAAGATTAATACTTTTGGGATTAAATTACTTCGCAAATTCAATCCGACCTTATCCCGAAGTAATCATTGAATGTGAATAGATCGAGATGAAACAGAAATCGAGACGATCGTTTTTAAATTGTATAAAATTTAGTTAAACTCTTTTATCGGATAACTATCTTTGTAATAATATTTATGTTCAATTATTTAACGTACAAAGACATAACTTTGAAATTGTTATATTCACATAACGACAATATATCTATATTGAATGTGCAGATCAGTGCACGTGACAAGAGCAGACAGGTGTACTCGAAAACTAAGATGTGAAAAATATGTTTATTTTTCGAAATGTTACATGCTAAGGACTATGTGGAACACTCCAAAATTTGGTGACCTGAAATTTCAGTTTCACAAGCTTCAAATGCAACTATGTCGATATATAATAACATGAAACATCGTGTATTTGCATGCATGTATATTTCTAATAACACATTTTAGAAATTATTTCTTTCAAATTCACGATTGTTCTTTAGAATTAACTATTAATCAATATCGACACCGGGATTTTTTTCTATTGATTTTCTTGACTTTTTCATAAGAAGAGCGACTTTTCTAAAGACGACTTTCGAATTCGTGCATTGGCCCGTAAATGTCCTACGTTACAATCATGCTTATGTTATTAGGTCACAATGTGATTGTTCAATGACGTCGTTTACTCCGATTGACCTCGGATCAACCGGTGTAACATATTCATAAAAACAAAACAACTCGGTCATCGGTTTTTGTCTTTGTTTTTACCTTCGTGCTTTCTATAATCGACAAAATTACCTGTAATTCTCTTTCCATTCAGTATTAAAGCGTTGAACCTAATGGATGACTTGCGTCATACATGCAAGCTACAGGTCTTAACCGGGACATTTATTGCTCCTACACACAAAACTTGTGTATTGTGTAGAACGTAAATGGTCCATTGTAACGTCACAATATAGTCAGGCACTGACGACGTCAAAAGACGGCACCAAAAGGATAATTTTGGCGGGAATGAAGCAAACTGAATTAAAATGCATTTTGAATACTTAAAACGAATGTCAACAAAGAATACAGGATCAAAAGCTTGTTTTTGAAAATTGAACAATTTTATTGTCGACCAATATACCCAAATTTCGTTGTTCATTTTACAAAAGTTTTAATTGTTGAGTTTTTTTAGCAAAATTCTCTCTCTCTCTCTCTCTCTCTCTTGTTGGTCCAATAACATTTTCATAGCATGCTCTCTGGTAACAAAAATGGTATTGCAACAAACAATGGTTTGAGATTTAAAAATTTGCATGTTAAGTATGTTAGTATATAAAGCATGGTAATTAATTAAACAATATTCACATACAGCTTTATTTGCAGATAATTAATTGTCAGAATGTTTATAAGTGTAATCTTGAATCGACAAAATGTTTAATGTGTTTGAAAAGATAATCTAGTATACTATAGTTGACACTCAAAATAAAATAAAATCATTCCTATTCTTCATACTGTGAAACTCTATGTACATTCCTAAATGGCAAGTTTAATATAAAAAGAAGTTACAATTTGGATAATTCTCAAATAAGATAATCAATTTCTGAACAATCATCAGAAGTTTGCCATTTCACATACTCAATCTGAAGCAGATGTTTTCTCATAATTGCTTGCATAGGCTTTTCATACAATGCTTTGATTGCCGCGCACTGACACAGCGACGAGAGAGAAACGCCTATCATCTTTGTTGGCAATTGAAGTATTTGAAGTGAATACCCACCAGCTGTTTCGCATGTCAGGATCTTATACTTGCCATAAAAATCGCATAGTTGGCGGTGAAATTTCTTGTAATCTTCAGCGAATGTTATTGTAAGTTTTCGATATTCCTCAAGTCTATTTTTGTCAGTTTTTAGTTCTTCCAAGTGGGTCTTTATTTGCTGTGTATTTTTGTTTACACCGTTCAACTTGTGTTCTACTACAGTCTTAGCATTGCTTGCCCTTTCCAGTGCTGATTCACTCGATTGCACTTCACTACGAGCAGAAATAAAACTATTTGAACACAACGTGACTGCTTCTTCAAGGGCTGTGATTCCTACTATTCCTGTGCCAAGACCGGCTGCCATACCAGCTAAACCCAAGGGGGGAACGAAAATTGTAAAGAAAGCTGAGACTACTGTAGTTGATACTCCAGCAGCAACGGTTGCTGTTTTTGCGTCTTCGAGCTTACGCCTTGCATCCGAGAGTGCGTTTTCGGCAGCGGACAAATCTTCTCTTTTTCTTCTACATTGCTCATTGGCAGTGTCTATAGCTTTCTTTGTACCCTGTAACTCTTTCTCCAAATCAGTTAGATCCGAATCTATTTTCTTTAACTTGACATTATCTACCTTCAAATCAGCCACGCATTGCTCGAAGTCGGAATTTATCTGCTGTAATAAACTTTTAGCATATGTCGCCATTTCATCAAATTCCGTTTTTGCCTTTTCAATCAAAGGAAACAGGACTTTAGCTATGTATTTGTCATCATCTTGACATCTACCACCAGTTATTTCATTCAAGTGTTGTATAAACGCTGATAAATGTTCCAGACCTTTCAACAGAAATTCTAGAACTTTTTCAAATTTGTATTTATATTTCTCATGAATTCTTGCCTGCACTGCTGACATATTTCCTGTAATTATAAGGGAACATATTATAAACTAAACCTTGGTTAGTATGATGCCGTGAAATTCATTTGATCTAATACTTAGCCGATTCTATCGTTTTACCGAGTGTAATTTAATAAAAAGATGTTTTACGTTCCTTTGTTCTCAATTCTTTTGGGTCGACATTTTTGCCATGATAAATACGACTGGTGCCACTACCAGAGTAGGATTTGCTTACTCTTCCGGAGCGCTAGAGATCATTCCTGTATTTTGGTGGGTTTCGTGCTGCTCAGTTTTATTTTTCTGTGTAGTGCTTTATAGACTGTTGTTTGTCTTTTCATCGATTTTCTTATGGCTATTGTGTGTTCTGTTTTTTTCTTTGACAGCCTTTATTGAATTTATAAATGATCTTTTTCAGATCTTTAACGTTTGTATAAGATTTTGTATTTTCAAAAAATTTGCCTCGAGCGTCACTGGAGAGAATTAACTGTCGAAATACGCATCTGGTCAGTAAAATTTGTACCGTTTATGATTTTATATGTTGAGAGACAGACAGGAATACATCAGTGGTGAATCCAGGATGTTAAATAAAGGGGTAATTGACGGAGGGGCCCACCGAAAACGTTTGCCAAAAATTGGGACCCGGCAATAAATAGAAAGAAAATGTAATACAATATATTCGTGCTGAAAAAAATCATGCCGATCGCATGGTTTAGTGTAGTTAGTGCTCTTTATGTTTGAAAGCATGTTTAATTATCCAGTAAAACTAAATTTATGTTCATGTTTCAAACATAGATGTGTATGGCGAGTGTTTTTGCAGGCATTATCTTATTGTTCTTGAATTTATGATGCATGTGATCCAACTCCTAAAAATACTTGGTGTGAGGAATTTGATAGCTATCAATATTTTGTGTAATACTATTAAGATAATCTTTTTGCTATGTATTTTTACGTTCTTTTTAATTGGTGATATCTTTTCATAACGACATATATCGAAACCAATCACATAAAAAGATAAAATTTGGGACACCCTTAATTCTATTCCAAAATAGCCCATGCCATTTGCTGTTCCAAACTCACTATATTTTTACAGTACAATGAAACCTGACTTGTGTTGATTAGTTCATCTCATTTGGTGTCAGGTGGAAAGTTGTCTCATTGGCAATTATTCCTCATCTCTTTTTTCATATTGAAAAGTAACCTAGCACCCCCTTTAATTGATCTCGATCTGTGTTTCCTTGCTTTGGTAGATTATTTAGATATTTCGTCGTAATAGAAATATTTCCCAACTTTTCGAGAAAGTTACAATGAAAACTTCCTGAAGATAAGAATTTCCGGATGAAAAGGTAGAGAAAAGGAAACTACTAGTACCAATAATTCCTGAAAACCGCTGCGACTTTTAGGTAGAATTCAAGTGGATCTGTATGAGACAGCAACCAAACCACATAAATAACAAAAGACGTCTCATGATATACTGCATTTTGTTGAAAGAGTTTAAAATATGGGAAATGTTTCACTAATGTAATGCTACTAGGAAATGCGATAATTGTAAAGCATTATCATATAATGTACATTCGATACTATTTTCTGTCCAAAACAATTGATCAGACTGTTATTCATTTGAAGTTATATGATCAAACCATATCATTAATGGCCTTATCGGTAAATGTTGCCATACCAGATGTCTCATTCGTTTGTATTTCTTTAATTCTTTCGGATTCAATTGGTGGCATAATTTTTTCGATTTCATGAAGTTTTGCGATTTTTTCCTCCACTTTTGCGTTGAATTCCTCTTTTTGTTTCATTACAATAGAGAGTATAGCTTTTTGTGCCTCTTGACATCCATTATGTAGTTCCTCGTGTTTCCTCCTTATTTCATGTTCATCTTTTTTCGGATCCAGAGCTACTAAAAGTCCCAGGCAGCTGATTATGTCCATCAAATGTTCATTGGATATTTGAACATATGTTCCAGCAATTGTACGCACTATATACGCAACCTGACTGGCTTTTGATGTCTGTTCAAATATGACATCCCTAAATGTATCAGATAATGGTGCAGCATTATTCGTCATTTGTAATTCACGGCCCATTGTTGCCTGGTCTACAGAATTCGTCAGAGAAGAGTGCAGACAACATTTTATTAGATTGGACAACATCTGAAAGAATCGAACAAGTTTTCCCCATTGCTCTCTTACTTCTGCTAATGCCTTAATGCCCTTGACTAACGTCTCACGAATACTATCAAAATCAATCTCCTTTAATTCAAGTTTTGCCATGTCCTTTAAAACTTTTGTCAGTTTATCATTGGACTCTCGTAGCTCATCAGCTGCTTTTTCCTGACGCCGAGTTGCAGCTCGTAGTTTTTCTTTTGCTAGCTCCGTTTTATAGCGAGCATTCTCAGTCGCTGCTGTAACTGCAGAAGAACTCTGTGTAGGCATTTTGGACAGATGAGGTGATTTGTTATTAAGTGGATTCCTTCCAAGTGCTTTGTGTGCCTCTACTTCAAGTTTTTGAGATTCATTCTGAAGATATTTACTTTTGTTAACAGCTTCCGAAATAACAGCATTTCTATTTTCTAAATCTGCCATACTATTAGCTAGATGTTGGAGCGTATTGCAAATGTCAACAGCATCATCACATAATTTCAATACCCTTTCACGAAGTTCTCCACTATTCACCTCACTGATGACATGATTTCTAGCCGTTTCAATAAATTGCTGGATGCGACCTAAATCACCATGACCTATCCTTCCCATATCAGGACATTGCTGACCATTATCATCAGTTCTACCTGTTGTAATCTCAACAAGCTGGTAGATATACCTGGTGATTGTTGATACTTCGGAGTAGACACGCTGTCTCGATAGTTCGTTATCAAAGTACGTATCATCTTTTTCACTGTCTTCATCATTGGCAGCTGATGTTCCTAGTTTCTTCTTTATTCTTTCTGAAATTTTGCTTGGATTACTGGTAATATTACGTACTCCTTCTATCACTGCTTCACAAACGGCTATTCCGATTAAATCACCTACTGACGGAATGTTATTAATCGCCTCCTCAAAGTCTGATTGTGCTTCTTTTACCTCCTTTTCCATGTTACTAAGTTTTTTTTCGGTGTATTTTATTTCTTTCATTCTTGACTGTTCTCTTTCTGTTCTTGCAACTTCAATGGCTATTTCAGTTTCTCTTGTTTTTTCATCATAAACCCCTTTTGTATTAGTAGATGTTTCAAGAAGTTCTACTGTCAATTCCATAACTCCAACAAATCGATCTTCAATGGCTTTAGCAAGCAGTAAGCTTTCGTCAGCGATATTCTGTATTTTAGACAGTGACATAGGTAACATTCTCTTTACCTCTTCCGGTGTACCCTGCATTAGAAATTTAACGGCATTTTTAATCTGACCATCTATGTTACCACTATGAAGACGAATTTGATCCATACTGGTATGTGCCTCATTAAACGCACTCAATCCAGCATTGCTGACTTGAACTAATGATTCTCGGAATGAATTTGGATACCGGAGTAGCTTAAAGCCATCCATGGGTGGTTTTTCGTCAAGACTGAAGTCCATGTCGGCTGAAAACAATATCAGATCTCCCAACAAAGCAATAGCACACGGAGCTGGTGTTAAGAACTGATCCCAATTACTGTCAGGTGCCATCATCATCATATCATCACTTCTTTTGTCATGTCCTTTGCACACGCTTGCTACGGCTTTATCTATAGTTGCGATTTCATCCATTACTTTCTGTCAATATTCCTACAAAATAAATACATTCAGCTGTATATTTACTGCATATCAGCACTCCTTTTTTTGTTTACAGTTAGAAGATATACAAATACAATATGGTTGATTTATATTGCAACTGTGACTTTTGCTCAGTCAAATTACATTGACCGAATATTCATTTGTGTCACTGACCGTAAATAAACTTCAACAAGGAATACATTTTCTCAAAAGTTTTATGTCATCCGCACCAAATTCAAAATGGAGATTTTTACCAAAAATATTTCATTTGGAACAGTTGTAAGAGGTACAGTATAAAGAAAATAACCATACATTGTCTCGAAATATAAGTTGTGTTTGAAAGCCATGCATTCTTTTGTTTCTATGCCTTGTATACATATTTTGAAAAAATATATGATTATTCTATATTTAAAAGCTTGATTTACTTTTATCCAACTATAACGTTGTTGTGATTTTTTCTAAACAATCCGGTTTTTGTACCCCGAAGCATGGATTGCCTAAGTCGTATTTTGCGAAATGTTTGTCTTGTAATGCTGACCTTCATTTTTGATTTGGCCTTCTAACCTTTTTATTCGAGCTCTACTAATGAGGCGCGTTTGGTATAACAAATTGTTCGCCTAGTATATTTGATTAATTTTCACATATATTCAGATAGTATATTTTCTCATATTTCCGTTTATTTAAACATTTTCTAATTCTTGGACAATTTATGCTTCCCCGATCGTTGATTATTTTATTTTTAATCGACGCGTGGTTCGTATGATCTCAGTTCTTTATTGGCCAAAATTAATTTATGAAGTCAAATTATCTTGTCTTTCCTCTGAAGCTGCTATTGTGATGTCACGAAAAAATGCGACCATTCCTGGTGACGTCACACAAAAAGAAAACATTTTTTTGCAGATCATTTCAAGAGTAAAATAAAGTCGGTCTAAAAATCATCAGAGACATATACTTCTCTAGGGAATCTCGTGCAATACGAAAAATCTCCAAACTCGACAAGCATTGACATTTTACTGTCTTGTGTGGAGTGTTATCGTATCCCACTCGAGACAGTGGTACAGTCATTTTTTTATTCAAGATATTTCTGTTTATAAAGTTCACGATCAGCAGAAATAAAAGCCTTTCAATACAATACATATTCATTCTGTTTTATAGTTGGAAAATGAATGAATATATATGTAAGGTTAGGTGTCCAATTATTTGATTCCATTCAGGACGAGAACATAATATACGATCTAATATTTTCTTATATCTATCTTAATGTTAGTCACTGCCCGATGTGCGAACGTTTCTTTTTTTTTTAAATTTTCCATAATTAACATAATCATTCTACACTTTATACACTGTATTACGAATAATAGATTGTTTGAACAGTAAATAGATGTCATATCAATATCATGAATATGTATACTTTTCAGTGCTAGACTGATTTCTTGAGTCATATTTTAACATGCAATTTCACAGGACAACAATCCACACAAAGAATTGTAACATCTTCCTTATAAAGTAAAATAAAAAAAATACAGAACCCCAACGAAAATTCAAAACGGAAAGTCCCTTATCAAATGGCAAAATCAAAAGCTCAAACACATTAAACGAATGGAAAAAAAATGTCATATTCCTGACTTGGTACAGGCGTTTCCTTGTGTAGAACAACGCATAGTTTTTATTTTGCTGTACGAGATTTCAGAAATGTATACCACTTAAAATAGTTTTTCTTTACTAAATACCTTGTGCTGTGTTTGAAATAATGGTCTCTTTTCACCCTTAAATGATTGTTTAAATAGAAAGAGTACTTAAAAAATATTGTATCTGAACCTAGCGAAACAACAGAGTTCTTGCTTTATTTGAAAAAAAAGCTCACAGTGGATGATGTCCTAAATGGGTTAATTTTTTGGGCCCTTTATAGCTTGCTGTTCGGTGTGAGCCAATGCTCCGTGTTGAAGGCCGTACCTTGACCTATAATGGTTTACTTTTATAAATTGTTACTTGGATGGAGAGTTGTCTCATTGGCACTCATACCACATCTTCCTATACCTATTTAGATTGGGTGTCCTTAAAGGGAAAGTCCGCGATTTTTTACTTATCATCTAAATATGTTCATCATAACATAAAAAAACACATTCACAAAGTTTTAAATTTATATTCTTTCTAATAACGGAGAAAATCAAGTATTTGTAACTTTTTTGGTTGACCTACGTCACTGGGTTGTGACGTTTTAACCCGATTTGTTGAATCATGGGAAAAAATAAAATCTGTTTAAGTCTTAATTGCTTATCAGAATTTTACGTAATTAAAAGCGCACAGATGATCGTTGGTCGTAGTTAATAACCACAATATAAGAATGAAAGAAAATGAATACGCGTTAACCGTTTTGTATTGATTGAATAAAACTTCCTATGTGAACTCAGAGACATATATACACATGTGTATATATGTCTCTGGTGAACTTATCTAAATATAAATATTTTCGAATTAATTTCATAAATTTTTGTTGAGATTGTTTTATAAAATATCTATTGAACATTTTTACTGATATTGAACTGAAATATTTAACGTTTTATTTACCGTAAGTTATAACTTTGATAACCATTTCAATGCAAAAAATATGTAAACAGAACGTGTATATTACTTTGTAAAGTCATTGTTTATTTCTCGATTTGAGGAGAATTCCTTTGAACTTTACCTTGCAGCAATCAGCCTCAGGCGTACACAGGTGTGAATTCAAGCGTACACAGGTGTGTATGTTGTCAGTTTGAATGGATTAACAGAAAGAGTATAGCGTGTTTAATACACCAAGATTAAATATCCGATGACAATAGAGAAACAATAATTGAATTGTATAAATCAATTGAAAATAAACATTCAATTTTTTTTCAATTCCGGAAGTGTATACAATATTACAGTGGAACAATTTTCGATTACGTTCTATGCAATTTGCATAAAATTAAAATATGAAGTTAAAAGAATAGTACTTTTAATCTTAAAAATTAAATGTTTCATTTCCCAATTAATAATAATTGCACATCTGTTTAATTTACTTTACCGGAATTCTTTAACTTGTATTTAAATCTGGCGATGTTAAAATGCTAACAGTCAATCGTAAAACTATCTTAATTTTTCAGTTTTTAATTGAAAAAAAATACAACAGTACAACATGCATGATTTTTTAAATTTTCTTTTTAACATTTCATTCTTCATAATTAAGTTAATCTGCCAATCACTTAAACGAATTATTTGTAAAAAAAATCGTTTATTTCATTAATGGATATACATACATTATAAATCTAAGCTAATACATTATTTTGCTTGAGGATTTTTTTTAACAAGTTTTTTATATTCTATGATAATTTTGTGCAATGCTGAACAGGATAGCCGTCATTAATCCAAGTAAGAAATACAGTAGTTGTAATAAAAGGCATATCTTAGTAATGTATAACTGATATTGACGATTTTAGAACAGTTCGTCCCAACCTCGTTGTTCTTGAAACAATCTTTACTAGTAGACTTGTAAGTTTTCTGACGTATAAGCGCCAGAGGTTCTTTCTAACAGACAAAGCAGACTAGTAGCGTTTCGTTAGTTTGTTTTTTTGGGGCAGGAGAGGCCAACCACTGGTACAGATAAACAGAATCACCATACAAGCTTATGCTGTCAACACTATCAGAAAAGAGTTCCCATCATCGGATGGGGTATATGAAGGCCAAGAATGTACAAGTGACATGTCTGACTCTGAACAGCTAGTAAACCGACTTAACAATGATCTATAGACATCGACCGCTTGTTCTTGATATTTGAAACTGCATGCATATATACGTTTATGAGAGTGATTATTTATCTTGTGTCTGACGAAAACTAAATGCCTGCATGGTTATATCTTGCCATTTTGTAATGGTTTGATGGGTGTTCACTCAAAATCGTAATTCAAAAATTGTGTTTGTGAGATGAAGATTCACTTTAATAACGAATTTCGTCTATATATTTCACAAGTGTATACCACGAAGAAGCTCTCAAGGTATATTACTCCCATTTTGTTTGGGTGTAAACCATCGATGTTTACAGCAATATTTAATGAATAAGATGATGATGGTAGAAAGAAATATGAGCGTCATGTGGCAAATATTACATGAATGTCGGATCATGAGTTATCTATCTGTATGAAAAGATTTCCAATACAACCATATTGAGAAGGAATTTTTACATGCTATATTCGAGTCGTACTAGTATTACAGGCTTCTCATGTCGTTTGAATCAGACTGACACATCTTTTACTTTATGATGTATGAAAGGTTCTATATATATATTAAATGTAACAATAATCAAACGCCTACAGGCAATAACTAAACGGGTATGAAGTTTTTATACAGATCTCTTTTTATTTACATAATCATTAACAAACTAAAGAAATTGAACAAAGAAATTGAACAAAGAAACACAGTGACACTACGATATAGCATGGGATACTTAAATATTTTTAACCATTCTATGCATCAAGTTATCGCACGTGAATACCAATTTGGAACACGATGTGTGATTTTGTATAACTAAAAATATCAAACGAGCAGTAACTTTGTCTAACAAACATTTTTGTTTTTGACTATGCCTCTCTTTATCTCTTTTCCTTTACAATTACTATTACCCTTTTCGTCGATCATTCTCTATATAGTATATTGTTCTCTATTCGGTTAATTTTTTTTCACAATGCTAGTCTATCTCCGCTCCTTTACAATGACTATTTCCACTGTCGTTCTAATCCTTATAAAGATAGGGACATTATACATAGAAGGAGCTCTCTTATCTTCAATAAATAAATATTGATACTGACTATAAGTGCTGCATTACTTCACATCTGCATGTTTGCCAATCGTCAAAAGCTTGTATTTGCGTGAAGAATTTTTTTTTCAAAAGAAGGGTCCAGAATCATGACAAAACAGTATTTATTTCACAAAAAATAAGGTCATGTTTATAAAATTTTAAAACTTATTATCAGAAAGAAATAGTGGATAATAT